AACAAGGTTAGAAAAGTGTTGATCCATCAAACGGAGAACACACCCGAAGTGGACGGAGCAATGGAGGAATGCTTAATGTTTCGAGCAACTTTGATCAGTTATCAGCATTCTTGTGATAACTTTCGTAACGCGTACTGCGGCGTAAAACAGCAGTTATCTAACAAAACGACTTCAAAAACTTCGATCAGTGTTAACGGTGCCATTGAGCAAGGAACTTGGTTGATTGCTAATTGGTGAATTTGTACAAAAAACATGCTTACAAACTCATGAAATGCATATATCCATAGTATTCATGCTATGTATGCCTAACCCTCAAATAATGAGTCATCTTTGTTACTAAAGCTATTCACCGGTAGGCTGCAGTTCTTTGGAAGAAAATTAACAAAATTCAGTCGCTTACTCCATCAGCAGCGAAAGGAAGATATTCCAGAATCGCATGGGGTTTTACCTGTACTTTATCAGTTGCAGGTTCCGACGGTGTTACCTTGCGTCACTTTCCCATTGACATCAATGATGAAGGCGCTTTGGAACAGGCCTTGCAAGGATGTAAAGTGGTTGTTCACTGCGCTCATGCACCTTTACCATGGACATACTCGGACAAGAAGACCAGCGAAGCTTTATGGAAAGATAATCTATCTGGTTGGTCCTGTTTCCTACAGCCTTTTGCTACAACCAACATTTTATTATCTCTCGCTAGTAAATCAGACGAAAGGGCTTTTTGCGTCGGTGTAGAGAAAAGCTCGTGATGCAGAATTGATGTGTTGAGAAGGCTTGTGATGCAGAGACAGTCTGCAAGAGTGGGGATGCATACAGGAGACTTTTGCCCTTCTGTGGAGAAACCGGCCACTATACTCTGATAGCATGAGCGCATTCGCTATCCCTGCACAACAATTTGAACGGAATGGGGAAAGACAGGGTGTTCTGCGTGATCTCTGCTCGGTTTGAATCGTGACACTACATGTAATATAGCCATTTTTGACTAAGAAGGGAACACCGGATTACAGAGCAAAGACAACTTGCAAACTCTGCAAACTCGACTCGTCCTACAGGTGAGACGAACGAGCGCTCTGGCAGCTGTAGCCCTATTACAAGTCCAGCAAATAACCGCGCAAGCCCTCAAGGTGCGCGCTTGCATCCTTACCAAAATCCCGGCGAACACGCTGCAAGTAGTCGAGAGCAACCATAAGTGAGAGCGTGCAGACAAGTAGGGCGTTTGCATATGGTTAGGCGTATGGCTGGCAGTACAGAAGCGAGGGCGGAGGCCAGGAATTTTGAACACGTGTAACTCTATCCTACAGCCCGTGCACTTTTGACCAAAAGAGGTGACACCCTACTGCGCTGCGGACCCATTCACCTTGGCAAAGACCACGATCCATGGAGAAGGGCGTACAGTTTTTCTTAGGAAACATAGCCTGTGACTGGCCGGGCTAACATGGGAAGAAGAAAGTAAGGGGTATAGACTAGTCAAATATGCGTCGCACTACCAAATTGATAGGTCCACACAATGCGTCCCCCCCCCCTCACCGTCGCTGAACTTCCGAACTTTTTTTATCCTCCCAGCCGAGTTGTTTACCAAATTGTCGTACTCAGAGCTGTGCGAAACTCGACCCATCAGAAAATATTCTGCTTTCAGCAACGGAGGTGCTGATAGATACGATGCTACGGATGGGTGTAAAGAATCTCGTCCATGTTGGTGACGCCTATTCGGCTTTACCGATCGAAGACAATTATGGCCTTGGAGAAATGGTCTTCAAGTGAGCAACTAGCTAGCTTTGTAGGAACAATGAGGGTACTCAAGTATTCTTACAGTGGCTATCCAGTTGACTACATCCTCGGCGAATATGGCGAGTCACGAACGAGAGCAGAAATGTATGCGAGGAAGGCTATAGAAAACGGTGACTGACTTCCCATTTTAGAGCTGCATGGCTTTTGACGTCTCCACAAAATCTGTATTTTTCAAGGTTCGTCATTGAAGGGAGTTTTTCTTCGCCCAGTGCATGTGCATGGTGAGGAGACGTCGTCTTCATGGCGTACACTTATGGAAATAGCCGAAAATGGAAACTTACCTTATATAGAAGGCGAACGTCGAGGAATGCATCAATTTGTGAGGCTCTTCTATTGGGAACGTAGAACCCTTTCAATAATGATCTGTTTAGATCTATGCTGGGAATCTTGCTGCAATTGTCGATCGCTGCCTTGTTCTTCTGTCTACGAATCCGCAACGAGTTAATTCCGAGATCATATACTGTCTAGACGACACATACGCAATACCCATCAGACAGGTAAAGTCCTTTCATCGGGATTTCTAGACTCATGCTCGTAGCTGGTTTTGCTTTCGCCGTTCTCGAAAGGGAAATGATCACGGGAAAGTTTATCTCCGCCCAAATCAAGTGTTCTTTCCAGTTTGTGGAACAACGAGTTCAATCTCCTCGGTTTTCTGCAAAAAACGAAGTTTCATTCGAGAAATCCTTCTTACAGCATTATCTCTCTCACATCAAATACAGTATTGGACTGGAGGTGATTGGGAATGGAGGTGTTCAAAATAGTTCCGCATTCATTAAGAAATTCGATTCAGGTTCCAAGAAAAACACTCTCATACCCGATGTTCCGCTTCCTTTTCGGAAAGACAATTGGATTCAGCGATAGAAAACAGCGTCTATTACTCGACCACCTACCAGAGGTACATTCAGCTGTACTGAAAGAAACAAATCTCACGAGAAATGCGAAAGTTCACAGAGAGCGCCCCTGGGTAGAAACTTGTGGGACTTCAGTCTTCGCTAGCTTGTTCTTGAGCAATATTTATGCATGCAACTAATCCTGGGTTCAGTTTAACACAGCTTGGGGAGTTTGGGTGTGTTTTTCTACTCGGAATGTTTAGATGCTTCGCTAACAACAGAAGAATCTGGTGTCATTCCGAGGAGCAGAGTTTGTTTCATAACAATAGTTAACAACGAGACGGAGGTCTTGTGGTGGCGAGTGGCACGCTTATCACGCGCACGGTCCGGGGATCAAATCCCGGATCCGATACTGCCCAAACCAAGCCTTCCCCACAGGAACAGCAAAATGGTACCAGGTTGAACGTACATATTCAAACTGTGAGTGGTGTAAGTCTACGGCATAAAAGCCGTTAGGCTGAGAGGGTAAAAGCGGAAAGCGTGAGGTGCGGGTTCGACTCCCGCCTGGGGCACGACTTTTGCCCATAACTCAGCATTCTTCTGGTACCAGGTTTATCCAGAAGGATAATAACTGACTGGACATTGGCTGCCACCCGTAAGTCTTTGTATAGGCCACATCAAAGTGACTGAGCCACTACGGTTCTGACTGGAAATAGAATGCATGCCGCATCCCAGAAGGGGTTGATTAACGGCGAAGACTCCTTTATTAATTCACAGTGTTTTTTAACACCCTTCATAACAACTCTGCGTACGAGCACCAACATGAAAACTTGAGCTAAGGCATTCTTCAGCAGCCCTTTTCGCTGATTTGTGATGGGCACTTGATGATGTTTCTGGTTATTGCTTGCCCATTTCAACCAGCTGTAGGGACGGGTTGGCGCTTCGCTAAACCCCGCCTCTGACACGCCCTAGCGTCTGCTGCGAATTAACTGTAGGTGCTTCAGTAAGCGCGAACGCCGAAATGTCAGAAAACGGTCGAATTTCAGAACAACGCACAACTTGTTATTTTTTATTTCTATGAACGGTGGTACTGAAATTCTGGTCTACACTGAAAAGCTCTTTCAAAATGCGTCGCGCGCATTCATTTATCCGCAGTATTATTTCATTCATGAACCAATTCTTGGTACTGTTGAAAAAGTCTAGCACTCGTTAACAGCTGTCAAGTAGGATTCAACTTTGAGTGCCACTGCAGGTACCCAGCTCTTGTGAGGTAGAGATAGGTGGCTGCTCGCTTAACCTTTCTTTATTGCTCATTACACTTGCATAATTTTCTTGGAAACGGTCACTTCGCCTCTTTCCTAGGTTGATGATGAACGCTAAGCCGTACTAGAAAACAGCTGACTGAAGCGCCATGCAATTTGTATTGTAGAGGGCCAAAGGGTCCGCGAACTCGATTTGTGTCAACGTCGTGGATTTCTCTAATGTTGGACTGAAGGAGCGACGACAACATTCTTACTCGGAGGAAATTCTGCTATAAGACTCGTAGGACTTAAGCACTAGGGTACTGTTGGCGGAATGCGATGAGTGAGCATAGATCATGATAACTCTTTCAGGAATGGCAGAATGCTGCCTTTTCAAAGGCTCAACATTTGTAGCTGTGACAGCACCTAGAGGCACATAACGTGACTCTAGAATGTATTGATTTGTCACAAACGGAATGTATTTGCTAATCAGTATTTGCTGACTTGTCAATAAAATAAGCCAATAAGTCCGAATCGAGAACTCCCTTAAAGGCACATAAATCCCCCAAGACGACTAGGATCAATACTCTGGCAGAATAGAATTTTGCGACCCTGGGCAGGCGCTGCATGGCGGTTTCCCCAAGGAAGGTGCCCTTACAAGGGCCCTATCAAGCCCCAACTTTATGTCCAAAAGGCCACAAGCGCGCCGCGCCCACAATGGCATCGACGCCTTGCTGGAAAATGAAGCGAAGGGATTGGTATGAAGCGGCCGTGATGCTGCATGCATATATGGGTACACATATGCAGCCGTATCTTCGGTAGCGGTGATTGGTAAGATGCCTACGGGAAACTCGTCCGAAATCGATTTACAAGTCACTGAGAACGGAGGCTTTTTCTTCGCAGGATTTTGACCGTTTCACTCCGTTCTTTCGCCATTTCCCCACTATACAGCGCCCTACTAGCATTTTAGGCTAAGTAGGAAACCATCGTGCCAACTGCCTTTAACGGTACCCCTACAAGAGGGAATAACTGCTTTCAATTTTGCCGCATGACGGTACATATGTACTGCTTATCTCCTACTGACACTCAAAATCCCTGGGTCGCAGTAGGCGTGGCTACGTACTTGAATAGAAAGTGGCAGCGGCTACGCTTTTCGTGAGTTATTTTGATTTCGGGGACAATTGTGGTCATGTCTTTGTCCAACACAGAACAAGATGACAATTGTCTCAAATTGGAATATCCCACGAGTAACCTACACAATGCCATGTTCAAATGCCACGCCTACTCCGTCGTTGGGGTAATGAGTGCACGTCAGGCACATCTTATAACTAACTTTGATTTCAACTTGAAGACAGGTGATCGTAAAAGTCGTAAACAGGTACTCTACGAGCTGTCGGTCACTCTTCCGATATGTTAGCTCCCTTTGCGATATCACAAGTTCCATCGTGGCAGTTTTTCTAGTATTAGGTCATCCCATTCAAAAGTGCCGTCGGTTTTTTTCGAATAAAACAAAGAGGAGAATAGATAAAAAAGTAATATTTTGGCTTCAAGTTAAGTAAATCCCTCCTTCACCAATGACCCGCTCCCAGTGCCCCGAAAGCCTTTGGACCTCTGGTACCTTCGATTTTTCAACAAGTGCGAGTAAATTGCTGTTGATGCCAATTTCGGCGAATGACAAAACATTGTAGCGTTTGCCGTCGGAGAGTACTCTCGACTGACCAGAACAGTTGGAATCGAACGGCTTTATGTTGGGCGAATGGGGCGATTGAACCCAGGTCAGTATTGTTTGTGTCCCAGCACTGCCCTACAATACAGTTACTCGGGGTCTGGCACTATGACGAGCAACGGTGGCCTTCTTGTAGTTGTGTGGTATCATCCATTTGTCGATCTGATTGCCGAGGAACAGGCAATATACACCGACAGCGACGATTTTATTTTCTGTATAGAGCCGCCTAAAAGCCTCAGTGTAGGAATCCTTTGCTATGATGATCATCCACTTGCGCCCACGTAACCTCATGGTAGAACTCGGGCGGCTTCTCATCTGCATTCATACAAAATTGACGATTGTGAGTTTTGGCTCGAGGTCCAAGACCACCCATATTTCATCTAGGGCCGGGGTGCGTTTTCACAGTCGTGAATGACATCTCATGCTGAGAACATTACTGCTAGAGGCACAGAATCGGTACTGCGTTCGTGCTTCTACAAGAAAATTAGGTACCCATGCGCACACCCTCTTGACCATCCTCAGTTTATCGGACATAACTCGGGCAGCAGTTGCAGCTGGGATGTCAGACTCGCGGGGAAGCTCGACAAAGGTCCAGGCTCTGTGATCAGACATTCAGCGCTTGACTTCATCCACCCTTTTTTCTTGTGCAGGATGAACATTATGGGACCATCCACGACAACAAATTTTTTCCTTTCTTCCTTCTTCGGGCTCCTGAACCAAACCTTCCACCTTGTATATCGAGAACACCATTACACACAACTACTGGTCCGGCGCCGGTCGAATTTGAGCAGCGCACTTCCCTCTTATGACGTCTGATTTGAAAATCGGGCGCTGATTTTCACCACTCGGGCTTCTTTTCAATTTCTCGAGAACTTCTTCTGTGGGTAGGTTCGCCAAATTTCACAGATACACAGCTAAAGGTACTAGCCTCCAAATGGTATAGTAGCCCGCTTCCCTATCCCCTTTGCTTTTCTGCCATTCCTCTATATGTCTCGGCACTTTTGAATGGGATGACCTAATATCTTGAGGTGAAGCCGCAAGCGTTCTTCAGCTGCTGTGAAATGATGAAGGGTAAACCTGTATTCGACATCGAAGGGGTTCAGTATTCATTGTGCGCTTATTTAGGATAAGAAAAATTAAGGCTCAACTGCAGGTATCATCAACGGAAGCGATGAAGCGCTCTCTTTGTATGCAGAAGGAATCATCAAGTGTTCAACGTCAATCAGTACGAAGTGGATAATCATGGATGTTCTGGAGTGAAGGGAACATTATTAACATTATTCTCACTTTATGTATTCGATAAAGGATGCTATATTGAAACGTGCTTTCAATTAAGCAGAAGAATTGACACATCGCTAAAAAATAACGTGAACGGCCTTGAAATATCAGAGTTGGTTGCTGTTATAGTCAGATGTTCGATAAAATAAACTTACTTAGCTACCACAATTGTAGCTCAACCACCAGTTAACTTTCACTAGCTGGCGAATTAGCAGTTGAAGAAATTTGCCTGCATACCATCTTGTCTTGCCGGTTTCGTCACCTTCAGCCTTGATGATGACATTGGGGCCTAAAAAGACTCATCGAACCCCATAGATATGGTCAATCTACAGAGTCCTATCAGACTACACAACTCGTAAGAGCACAATTATAGTTCGTACGCTATACATAGGGTCCTGCCGCGGGGAAAACTTGCGAAATACAATCTACGATCTTTCCAAACAGAAACTCCTTAACATTTTCCTCAGAAAACTGCGCTCGAGTGGGGGAGGGGAGTGAAAGGGTAGAGCACTCAAAAGAACGAGAAAAGTTCAAAACCGAAAACATTTTTCTCAGAGGAAAATACGACCGCCTTCGCTGGGGATACCCAACGTATGGCTTTCCTTTACACAGGGGTGTAGAAATTGAGAAGCACTTGATTTCTACCCGTTACCACGTAATGCCTTTGTCGATAGGAATGCATTCAAGGACCCCTTCCATACCACAGTTTGCGTTGGCGAAATTGAATTTGTTTTAGTTGTCTTAGTCGTTCTAATAAATGTGGTTATAGTAATCGCAACCCCCACTTTGCACTGTGAACGTTAGGAATATTGAGTGTGGTGTTGCCACAGAGCTTCATCATGTGCGGAGTTTAGCAACGGTGCATAACTCGGAAAGCTGACAGAAAGCTGACTCAAAACACTCAAAAGACACTAAGGACCGAATTTTCTGGAAAATACTCAGTTTGATAACATAGGTGCCTTTGTAGATAGGTCTTCAGCTTGCCGCGGAATTTTGAGCGAGACTTTCGTTATGTCTGTAGGATCTGAAATGAGGTACGTGACTGTAGAAACGGAAATCGCCGCATGACACTCACAAGCAAGTTGTGAACAGTCGGTAATTTCGCAATCAAATGTTATACCTCTGGCAACATGGTGTACGGTCACGCTTAAATGAAGTGTGGGTCCTACAACGACTCACGTGACATGCAACTACTCACTGTGAACAACGGTTGTATATTATTGTATTATTCGTTTCTTCATATCTGCCACTCTCTACCCTGTAGCCTATTAACGAGGGCAGCTCTCCTGAATGTGGCCAAGTTTTCATATGCGTACTTCATACCGTCATATGATGAACGGTCACTGTTATTCCGAAAGTTAAACCTTTAATGCCTTCAATTGAAGGAGGAGCGAACGGAAGGAACAACAGTGCTACGTCTGCATGCCATGAAAAGGCATCTATCCATCTTGAGTCGCCCAGCCACAACGCAGAATTACGACCTGAAGACGATGCCAATGGTTGACCTCACGACCATACTATGTTCGTGCAAGTTCCCGAGTAAGCTGGAAGTAGAAAGTATTTTGGAACTCGTAAGATTTCTCATAATATCTCCTTGTGATTTCTGGTGCGTGAGCAGTGGTTTCCGGACAGTGCAGGGATTAACGTTCCAAATTTTAGCAAAGAACGAAGGACAACAAGAATTTAGGAACAGTTTAAAGCTTCGATGGGTTACTTCGTAGCTCTCATTCGGAGATAATTTTATGCTGGTCACGAATTCTGGTTGGCTACGTTTCAGAAGAACAGGATTATTTGAAAACTGCTGAAGATATGCAAATCACCGCATGCAGCTGCAGTGTCTCGGATTAACGTCACTCATGCTTTTATGCATTACGCTACATTACACAATTATCGAAATGAGGCGGAGGCTCTTCTCTTATTAGCCACGATCGCTGCAATCTCAAGCATAGTCCAAAATCAGGCCGGCTTGCCAAGGCGTCGTCGAAATGACTTACGTAACATTGCGACTGGTGTACAACAATCCGACGATAGCATACGTACTTATACCCCCCCCCCTCCCGATGTTAAAGGGGAAAGGGGTTCCATGAGCTGCAATTAGACTGATTAAATTGCTTGTGCGGGATACCCACATTTTTGCGACATGGAGGAATTTTTCAGTCATTATTACCTCATCACACTCAAATAGTCACAAGTACATTTGCTCTGGGAAGTGATTTTGGACGGTACGCACCACACAACACGAATCAAAGTTAAATTAGGCACACTTATTGGAACAGATAACAAAGACCAAGAGCTTCTTGAGGGCTGTTAAAAGTATCTTACCGCTATTTCAACCACCTCACAGCTAATTTAATGCACTAAAAAGCTTATAATATTCTCGCCTTTTTTTACTGAGCGGTATCATGACAGCAAAACGTAGTCAGACCTTTTTGAGATGACCTGGAAGGAAGTGTCTATTTTTCACCTACGCAGCATGTTTGCAGATGAGGCACATTGCTTTGGAACAGCTTTCAACAAGATTTCCATCATGCACTAACACAGATACACTTCTAACAGACGCATTTCGCATAGGCATGGAAGCGGAAGACGAAGTGAATCGTAGAAGTGAGCACTGACTCCATTATTCCAGACGACAGAACGATTTTCAGATTTTTTTCAGGCTACTTTACGACCTGCTGTTAATAAGTCTCTTAAAGAACTGCAAAAGAGAAATAACCCGAGATCTTTAAGCTCAGCATCGTCGACCTTAACGTTTCCTTGTGATGAGGGGAGGAACAAGATTCTACAGTCTACTCTCTCCTAAATCGTTTTAGTGTCCTTTGAGATATGGAGCCGATGGAGTGAATCGGCTCCATATCTCTAAGGAAATGCCTCAGAGAGCGCCGGTGCTTATCTGTAGTCGCCAATTGCCCAACTATTACCAATTATGGCCAGTGATCGCGCAGGAACGCGCGACGTTTATCGATGGCGCCATCACGGATCTCCCTGGTAGTTCAGTCGTCGTATCTTCATGTAAGTCATTCTCCTAAACAGCTTCGTTTGGTGGCAGACCCGAGGGATCTCGGCCCTTAGAACTGTTGTATCTGACGAATCCTTTCAATTATCTTGCTGCGGCAGTGGGCCGCGCTGTTGACCCCGCGAGTTCACTCACTGACATGCTCTGCTCTTTTGTTTCTCTGGACATGATTGTTGGTCCAGTTGGACTCATACACTTATCAGTTCTTCCATCTGTCAGTGACTTATCAGGTACCGTCATGCCAGATCGTTATCGTATCGTGTAGTGCTGTTCATATGTGCCTGTTTCGCACACATAGGTGTTGTTAAGGATACGACCATGATCAGTGATCGATGGCGTCGAACAATCGAAAACTACTTTTCGCAGGAACGCAGATAGCCGTCTTGACTGCTGGTAGGATTGCTCAGCATAGCAGTCGGAGAAAAGTGTGGTTCCACTGAAATTATGGTAAAGACTGAGTTTCGATTGTACATGAAATCTTAGTAGACAATCAATATCAGGGATCGCAGAAGGTTTGTTAAAACCTCCCATATTATTTTGTATCGACCGAATGCCTTTATAAAACTATTTCGAATTGGACCAGCCGTGCAGTGAACACCTCTTCAAGAGAAGGCACATGGCTCGTCAGAACTCGGAGCCTAGAGTTAGTATTACTCTGTGTCTTGAGGAGGGAAATGTTTTTGTAACATAATCGTAGTTCACATTTGATTTGATTAATGATATACAGATCCTGCCAAATACTATATCAGTCGTTTTCGTTCACAAAGTAAAACGCACTGTCTTCTTAGCGGTATAAGCTCCAGTGCATGGGAATGGACTCGCCTCGGCAACAGAACCGAAGCGGGGTAAGTTGCATTCTATAATCGGGTAAATGTAATGACGTGGACATTCCAGATATTCCACGTGGAGCAGAGGAAAGTGTACACGAAGAAGCACTAGGGATTCGGCCAAGCTGGAGTCTCAATAGAGAGGAAATTGCGAAGATGAACAGAGTGTCACCCGTGGAGAGCAGTGGTACGAAAAATCCAATACAGTCATGGGTGCAGGCAGCCCAGAGAGAAGACGTGGAGACGAGTACCAGGGCGGAAGGTACCTAAGATATACTTTGGCAGAAGGAGGCTCTCGTCCACCAATTTCATGTACATCAAAACATCAAGCCATCTGCATCGCAGCCGAACTGAAGAAGGCTTATGGAATTGTCATCTTCAAACAGCTGCGAAGCTTCTTCCATCGACTCACCCATGAACCGGCACTCTAGATCTAGAAGACGATCATCTTTCAGGAGCAGACCATGCCATTAGATGCTCGTCGAGCGCACCGCCATCACGTCCTACCTTTGGATTCGAAAAAAGACAGATTCGACTTGGTGTATTGGCTCTCCGAATTATACTGCCTGTCTCATCACTCCTTTTCGAGTATGAGTGCACAGCCTCATAGAAGTCCAGCGAAGGCAACGTCTGAAGTGCTGCAAGAATCACCCGCCGAAGCTTAGGATGGAAATCTCGAAGGGGGCTGTGTTCGGTGATCAGAAGTTCCTCATGGTCTCTCCTGAAAAGAACAGCAAGAACATCCGCATGTGGACCACCTCCAAGAAGAAGGAGCTCCGTCGCGGTCTTTGCAGTCGCCAAGAACTGACTTTGCACTTTTTTTTCGTGCCTAGTATGGATGACATGCAAGAGCAGATGTTTTACGATTTCATAGGTATATTCACAATTCGGAATATCACACTGTGCGAAACCTTTTATTCAGAGGAGTTCTGTAGCTTTTCAACAGGTAGCAGAACAGGATACCATGATAAATGCTTCTGTCATTTTCAGAGTGATTAAGATGTGGGTGCGTTCAAGCGCAGCATAACGTCATCATGTTTTGTCGACCATGCTTCTGTGGCAGTCCTACTAAAGATCAAATAAGTATTTGTGATGCAGTAGGCTGAAAAGATATTGAAA